CAAGCTGTGCCCGGTGTGCCGCCAGGAAGGACACTTGAAGTCTGACTGTCGTTCACTGGCTTCCCCCGGCTGTGCCAGCAGCTGAGGTCAGCCGGAGCCTCACCATGGTCCTTCCCGGCTGGTGAGCTTCTGGGGCTTGCTGAGGAAGACTGAAGATGCCCGCACTCGGACACCCCAATAACCCCAGCCGAGCCCAGGGTCGCCATCCAGGTAGCAGGTAAGTCCACATCTGTTTTATTGGACACAGGGACTATTCCGTCCTTCCTTCGTATGCCGGGCGCAGTCTCCCTTCCACGGTCACTGTAATGGGGATGGATGGCACCTCCTCAACCCCCAATAAAACCCCCCTCTTGCCCTGTATCTTAAACCAATACCCTTTCTCCCATCCATTCCTAATAATCCCTTCACGTCCTGCTCCATTGCTCAGATGTAACATTTTACAATGCCTTAAGGCCTCCATTTCCCTACTACCTCAGCAGCCTCACGCTGCCCATCTCCTGTTTGCCGCTGTAGCCACCCTGGGGCCAGATGCTCCTGTCAGAGCAATATTCAGCCTCCAAAAACCTCCACCAATTCCGTGAACACCCCTCTGGTGAGGACTGGGCAATTAATTTTACACACATGCCTAAACATAAATGTCTTAAATATTTGTTAACTTTGGTGGATACCTTTTCAGGGTGGATTGAAGCATTCCCTACCTGCCGGGAGACAGCAGGTGTCGCTCAAACTCTCCTGGACTCTGTAATCCCCCAGCCTTCATTTCGCAGGTGTCCCAACAGGTCTCAGCTGCCCTGGGAGTGAATTGGAAGCAGCATATTCCTTATCGCCCCCAGTCGTCAGGCAAGGTTGAGCGCACCAATGGACTTACAAAGTCACAGTTAACTAAGTTCTCCTTAAAGGTCTGCCTCTCTTGGCCAGGTCTCCTTCCCGTAGCCTTAACCCGCTTCCGGGCTTCCCCCTGGAAGCCTACGGGTCTCAGCCCATTTAAAATCTATATGGTGAACCGATTACAAGGAACGATATGTGACCTCCTCCCTGGGGGAC